ATTATCATCTCGTGGACCCCAACCAGGTAGTCGACAATTACCGACATGGCTCAGACCACTAGTCAATGACTTCATGGATTTCTGCCATGTTTTGGTCTGGCCGCCCCTAGCTTTCTTCCAATCTATTCCTACACTACAAAACAAGGCTCGACGAGGCAGTCGGTGGTTAGCCATACGCAACACGTGTCCCAACCACCTCAACTGATGAAGTTTCAGCACTTCGTCGATTGATCTGCCATTCTTACCTAGTACCCGTTTCCTAATAACAGCGTTGCTCACTCGGTTGTCCCACGATATACGAGCAACGCTTCGAAGACACCTATGATCGAAAACCAATAACCGACGAGTATCTTCTACTCTCATTGGCCATGTTTCACAGCCATAAAGTAAGACGGAGCGAACTACTGCGCAGTACACTCGTCCTTTAGTCAGCAAACGGATATCTCCCCTACGCCATAAATGACGCTGGTTGGCAAAAGCCAATCGAGCCTTCTGTATCCGTGCCGAGATTTCGTCAGTCACCAGGCCATCAGCACTGATGAGACTCCAAAGATAAGTGAAGCGGTCTACTCGCTCGACTACTTCACTCCCTATCACTAGTTCAGGTGCCGATGCAACCCAATCTTGAAGCAACATTTTGCATTTCGACGGGGAAAGCCGCATCCCGAACATGCTTGCATTGTTGCTTAGGGTAGTCAGAAGACTCTGCATTTTGTCAGCGTCTTCACCAAGTAGGACAATGTCATCGGCATATTCTAAGTCAATAAGCGAGCCACCTGGTAGAAGGTCTACTCCTGAAAATTCAGATGACGATAAGGTTATTTCTACAAGCATGTCTATGATAAAATTAAACAAGAATGGAGAAAGTGGACATCCCTGACGGACACCACTTGAAGTAAAGAATTCCGGTGACAGTTCGCCATAAGCTCTCACCCGACCAGTGGTGTTTGAGTAGAGAGCTTGTATGAGGTTGATGTACTTATTTGGTACACCTTTCAATGACAGACACTGCCACAGAACCTCACGATCCACAGAGTCAAATGCCGCCTTAAGGTCCAGGAAAACAACTATTGTCGGACGCCTAAATGTGCGTCTGCGTTCCAGGACCTATCGTAGTGTGAAGACGTGGTCTATACAGCCACGTCCAGGTCGAAAGCCAGCCTGGTTTTCTCTAGTCTTCTCTTCACGAGCTTTCGTTTAGCGTCGAAGTATTATTGAGGCCAATATTTTAGATACTATATTAGTTAGACTTATTCCTCTGTGATTGTCACAAGAAGACTTTTGTCCTTTCTTATAGATTGGGACAATCAGTGATTGAGACCGATCGGATGGGATTGCGTCCAGTTCTCAGATTCTACCTAAGATCTCAGTCAGCCTAGTTGATAAAACTGGACCACCATCCTTAAATATCTCAGGGGTCAGTCTATCACGACCCACAGCTCGTCCTCGTTTCAGATTTCCTAACGCTTTTTCAACGTCATAGAGAGTCGGGGGACTTACGTCGATTTGCCATTCAGGATGACTGGAGATCGTGGGTAACTGAAGAGTGGCTCGAGGCCAGTTGAACTGATCCCTAAAGTGTTCTGCCCATCGATCCAGTCTCCTGGATTGAGAATAAATAATAGTCCCGTCATTTTCTGAGATAGTCTCACTTACGCTGGGATTCCTAATACCAGTTTCCTTGATAAGTCGGAAAAGTTGTCTAGTGTTGCCTATCGCCGCTGCCTTTTCCATCGCTTTTGCTTTCGCCACCCACCACTGTTCACGATCTTTACGTAGGCTTTTTATAAGTCTGCGCCTAAGTTGACTTCGTTCTTCATCATGTTCAGAGCCAGATGGGATGAGTTTTCGGGCATCCATCAGATCGGTAGATGCTACTGAGATCCACGGCTTCATTCTAGCCTTATGGTCAACCTTACGAGCAGATATCACTGCTGTTTCCACAGCCTTTTTGATATCATTCCATCCTGCTTCCGGATGGGAATCGCTTAAATGGTCGCCTAACTGTCTTTCTAGTTGTTCCTGAAATATATTCTTCACCTTATTATCATTAAGTAAGACCCTAAGAGGCTTTCTTACGGTGTCTTTCCTACGCCCAGTAAGCTTCAAACACATACGCGCTCGCACTAGGGCATGATCTGAATCTAGACATGTGCTCCAGAACGAGCGACAGTCCTCCATCGAACCTCTCCATCGGTGGCTGATGGCGATGTGATCTAGTTGAGTCCAACGTTGAGACGACTTTGGAGGTCGCCAGGTCAACAGATGCTTTTCCTTATGCCTAAAGTTAGTGTTTGCTAAGAATAGGCGGTTGTCTGAGCATGCTTGCAACAGACGGTCACCATTGTCTGTTCTCTGAGCCACGACACCATAACATCCACCTAGGTGTCTCTCCTGCTCACTTAATTTACCTACTTGAGCATTAAAGTCACCAGCCATTATTACTATATCAGAGCGCCTAGCTTTTTGGAGGAGGTCGGAAAGCTTTCTGTAAAACTCATCTTTAACCTCGTCTGAACTGCATTCAGTGGGGGCATAGGCAGATACAACGAAGAGGCAACGGCGATTGTCCCTATCTTTCCGAGTCCTTACTGTCCCGTTCAGTCGGACAGCGCACAGTCGACTGTCTATTGGGATCCAGTCAAGGAGAGATTGTTCTGCCCTACGACTCAATGCTATGCCTACGCCAGCAAGACCCCGGGAAGCAGCATCAGGGCTACCGGATACACGAAGAGTAAATCGAGCTGCTTCTTTATTTTGACATGGTGTGGCCAAGTGTATGACGTGACTCGGATCCTGTATGCGCGTTTCCGAGACGCAGCATACATCGATGGCACGAGATTCTAAAGTCCTAGCTAAGGAAGCTTGTTGCCCTATTTGACACAATGTCCGTACATTAAATGCTCCAACATGTAGTCTAGAGCGAGTTTTAAGGAGACCAGGAACGACGTTTCGCGAACTCGTATCGTCTGCATTAGCTGTGCACTGTGATAAATGAATGTGAGAAGAGTTAGTTGTGGAGATAAGAGAGGTACTAGGGGGTGTAGGAAGGATTTGATTTTGACCAGTTCGATCTCGCGTGCTGTTATGGGTATGAGGGCGGTTGTCACTTCCCGGCTGCCTACACCGTAGAACCAAATGGTTAATGAGACGAAACAAATATATGAACAATTCTGTATATGAAAAATGTACATGAGCAATGAGTCATAATTATAATGGGTTGAATAAATTAAAAATAATTGACATAATCAAAATGAAGAAAATTTAAAGTCGCATGATTGTTTTTTGTTGAACCTATGGAGAAAGCATAAAATTAGGGTAACTACAAGATACTTAGAAAATATCAACACAAACTACCAGTCTTGAAAAAGCATTTCAGCTACTTTTCCAGTGAGTCTGCTATTGTACGTGATTGACCAATTTTATATAAGAGTGATCGAATCTGAGAGTCCGATAACTTGGGTTTTCATTTTAACGGTTTATATCTTCACAAAACCAATGAACTAAGAATATCCAGCTTCAAAGTTTAGCATAATGACTCGAGCGAATTGATGAGTACCGACGAAAAAATATTTCCCAGGTTTTGTGTTGAATTTTCTAGTAATAGAAAAGAGACAAGTTACTGAGAACAACTCATAAGTTCAAATCAAACTGGGAATAGGCTGGAAACCCAATACTGTGACATTGGCTAATTTTGGGTGAATTTAATGAGTATTGCCCCATCTAAACAACTGACGAATTATCAGGTAGAGTTAAGAGAAATCGACATTGAGGGTACAGTTATCATTCTGAGTATCTTTAAATTAGTCGTAGGGAAACTCACTAGTAGGATGCAATCCTATTTTCACCATGTCTTAGACGTAAAAGAAAGAGTATTACTCATAAATGCATCGGAGCTATTCAAACCAAGAGCAGGCTAAAACTTGCTACAACAAACAGAATGAAAATCTTATCCAAACAATCCTTGCATGCAGTAAGTTACAGTGAAGTATATTGGCTGATCACTCAATCGAAATAGAAATGATGAGATAATTTCATGCGTACGTCATCAGTTAGTCAGAGGAAAATAATTGAAACAGAAGTAATCAATGTAACCAAATTATATATATATATATATATATATATATATATATATATATATGTATATATATATATATATATATATATATATATATATATATATATATATATATATATATATGGTTCAGTTGATGAATGATACAATTAAAATCATAACAACAGCAAGCAATAGATTTTATTAATTTTGCATGATAGTCATTAGCGTCAGATAAAAAACGAATGCATACAAAGTGATCACATATAATACTGTTTTATTCATGTTCTCTAAAGAAAAATATAAAATCGAAGAAAAGATATCTAAAAAATAGACAGATAAAAAAAATCCTGTCTCCAATTTGGTTATAAAGTATATCAAAAATAAAAATAACTATGGGATTCTATTAAGTAATATATTGTTGAAAATAACAAGTTCAGTAGAGAAATTGGAATCATAATAATGCCGCAGAATATTACTCAGTAATAATAGCTTAAAAAATAAAAAATAAATGATACAGAAAGGCGATAAATTCATGTTCAGAAGAGTGTATGAAATTTTTCATTGGAGATTGATAAACTTCAGTGAACATTCAAGTGTGATTATCATTTCGTTAGAAATTTGTGGATTCATTATTATTATTCACTCAACTACAATTTATAAATCTCATATCACATTCACTATCAATGTTCGAAATCAGATAATCAAAATGGTGTATTTGTAGTAGCTTATCGGTCTCAAAATATCCATTTATAAATTTATGTCGTTTGGAATTACTTATGAAGTCTATAAAATCACGTTTCATAACTTGATGAGAAAGGTAAAATATAAGAAAGTTATTTGGAATGATTGATTTCATTGAAAATTAGTTTGACATAAGAACGTGAGAAATATGATTTGAGTATATTTGTAAAAAATGAGGATTTTTCAAGTAAAACTGTTAATGTTATGCTTCTTCTTTTGTTAAATATCCAATAAATTCTAATGGAGGTTCGTCTGTTGAATGTTCAATCTTTTCAATTTTTCCACCTACTAGCCGATTTAATTTACTTCTGTTGTAAGAAAAAAATTGAACAATTATGATGTATTATATAAGATGAAATCGAAAAGTCATGTAGGCAGAAGTTTATAAACTTATTAGGTTTTTTTAATATTTACGCATTATATTCAATTACAGTTGCATAGTAACTATAATATTTCATTTCACATGATTTGATGATTGTAAATGAACATAATTTTCTTAAACATTATTTACTAGACTTAACTGAATATCATTCTCATATCATTAATTTCAGGAACACTTATCGAATCCTATTATGTATAGAAAATTTATACGATGCGAAAACTTGCAAACTTTTTATTCGGTTATAATCTTGTATCAACATCGAAGAAAGTGGGTGACGCTGACTGAAATCCCACGAAGAGTATCTGTTCCCAGGATGTCAAAGGTATGTCGATCGATGAGTACTAACTAGAGCAAAACATAGGTTTAAGGTCCCAACACCAATGGAATCACCAATATCAGGATTCATCGCGGAAGCTGTAATGCAGAGACTAGTAGTGTCAGTTTTACCAGTGATCAAACCAAAAATATTGGTTCGCTATGTAGACGACACATTCGTCATTATCAAAAAGAACGAGCTGAAGAACATCTACAATCGGATCAATAACATCTTTCATGACATAAAATTCACAATAGAAAAGGAATCAAACAACAGTCTATCATTCCTGGATGCACTAATCACCAGAACCAACACAGGAAAACTGGAAACTCGGAAGCCAACCCCCACAGACGTAATTCTCAACTACGGTAGCAACAACCCAAGAACCCACAAAATCAACTGCATAAAAACTTTGTTCAAGAGAGCGAAGACACACTGCAGAACATATGAAGCACTAAAAAACAAGGAAGAACATGTTGTAACTATCTTCCAAAAGAATGGCTATCCAAGCAACTTCATCAAAAACATCAACCAAAATCGTCAACAGAAGCAAAACCAAGTACAGGAACCAATAAACGGATCTTCCTACCATACATAAAAGACATCGGAACTTACAGAATGAAAGCGTTTGGAAAAGAAGTGACACACAAAACAACAGAATTACATCAATCAACGCTATGTAGACCAAAGGACAAAATGACAAAGGAAGAGAGACCAAATACCATCTACAAAATAAATTTCTCAGACTGTGAAAAACACTACATAGGACAAAGTGGACGACCTCTTCAGTTTCGTTTACGTGAACACCAGTTAGCAGTCAGGCGCCACGACAACTCTTCACTTATATCAATACACACCGACAATTATGGAGACATTCGATTGGAACGATGTGGAAATACTGGGTAGGGGGAGGACAAAGAACACTAAGGGATTTTTAGAAGATTGGCACTCAGGTCAATCAGCAATCAACAAACACATCAACAATGAGCCAGTTTATCAACCAATCAGAAAAATCATAGGTGACATAGGATCAAGAAACAGATCAAAAGGGGAATACAATCAAAATAAAGAGGCGGACAAGGACAGGTTTGAGGTCAACAGCAGCCAATCAAGATTGCGGTTATCAGAATAAGCTACAGGTCAAACGTGGAGAAATTCGAATACTTCACTTCCACCTGAAGTTTGTGCTGATGATGTTGTTCAGAAGAACAATGAAAGCTTCAAAACCAAAACATCCAACTCAGAGAACGAACCACCACCACAATAGGTTAGGGTTCTCCATTACCTAATTTCAACCATATAACATGCAATTTTTAATTATAGAGTTGTGGAGATAGTTGTTTCACATTGAAATTTTGAATAAATTATTATTAGACCACTTTTAGCAACCCGGAAGCACTGCACGGCCTTTTCATCCTGGTATGGAAATCATCAGCAGTGCACATACACGACTCCCACTACTCGTAGGATTGGGATCCAGAACCTTCGGTTTTGTGAGGGGACACCGTGACCAGTAGAGTTCAGTCCTGTCCGATGTAGGCAGTAACTACCGAAGACAGTGGGTGAGGTTGTGTAGTACTTTAGATTGATCAGAGTTGGACATTAAAACCATTGGACTCCTGCTCAGTGAGTCAGAAGTTAAGCGTTCGCGAGTAAAGCCGAATGCCCTGGGTTCGATACCCTGGAGGAGTAGTGGGAGTGGTGGATGTGAACTGCTAATGAATCTCATAATAAGATAAAACGGCCGTCCAGTGCTCCTAGGTTTCTAATAGTGGTCTGAAGATGATTGGTTCACGATTTCAATATATAACATATCAAGAAAAAGTGTCAAAATTTATAAAATGTAACAGTTTGGTTGGTTTATAAAGTTTTGATTTGATTTAAATTAGCTCAACGGTTTCCCATAAGTTCCTATTGACATGTTTGATGCCATAATAATGGTCTAAAATTTCCTAAATTGGAAAATGATTGCACATCTGTTAAATGAGTTATGCTTTATAACTATTATTACTACTAACTATCTAATCATGATATTGAATCCTTAAAAAAAAACTTTAATTGACCAACTGCCGTATGACAATAATTCAACAAAAATCTATTCAGTATTTTATGTATTGGACATACCTTTTAATTGACCTGCAGTGTAAAATTCGGAGATGTTCAAGTTTCTTGCAACCTTTTCTTAAAAGACTTAAAGATGTTTCCCTAAAGAAATATAAATATTCATAAATTTGTTGAATAATAAATAGTTGTTAAAAATACTAGAAACTGAAAGTTAGTCTTTATGGTAAAATATTGTTGTAATTGTACAGTGTTATAAGTAGGAGTGGCATGAATGATCATAATGATTTAAGATAATTTTGTCTTTTATTTCTTTAATAAATGCTTTGAAATAGAGTTATTTTATTTTGTAAAAATTTACACAACAATATGCGTAATCCTACAATCCAAGTTTCATGTGCTTACTAATGACTAGCTCCGTAAAGAAGTTCCTCTTAGTTCTAGTGAGAAATCGTGACCAGTGGAGTTCAACCCTCTTCATGTGTGAACCAGTACTCATCGAAGACAGTGAATGAGGTCGCGCAAGACCTTGGATTGTGCGAAGTTAGGCAATAACACCATTAGATACCGGTTGAGTGGTCCAGATGTTAGGTATTCTCTCAGAAGACCGATGGTCCTTGATGCGGATCCTGTGAGTAGCAGGAGTCGCGAATTCGCACTACTAATAAGTCCCATAACTCGACAAAACCGCCTTACGTTGCCTCTAGGTTTCTAATCGTGGTCTTACATTGTTCGATTCATGACATCAAAACGGAACTTAACAATATGTGTAAAGAAATATAAACTCAATGTAAAGTTCAATATGCTTCATTGAAGTTATTTTAAACTTACGTGATCAACTGACAACCGGACAAATCAAGAAACTTTAGATAATGACACACTCCTGATATATACTGTACTGCCATGTCTGTTAGCTTCAAAAGAGAGACAGTGAGTGAAAATACGTAGCAATTAATAAATACCTACCAGATTACATCCGGCTAAATTAATAATCGTAAGAAAATGACAACAAAATGATAATGTTTTAATCCCATTGTTTGTCACATTCTAAAAGATTTATTATAATTTCAGTTTTAGAGTATCACTCAAACTAAAATTAATTTACATGACAAAATGATAAATCAATATATTCTAAGTTGATAGCCAGATGTGCAAACTTTTGTAATCCAAAATCAGTGATAGCTGTACATTTAGATACTTTAAGTTCACGTAGTTTAGGCAATGATCCAAGAGCTGATAAACCCTGTAAAAAATGAAAATAAAATTACTTGATGAGATATATCAGAAAATTAAAGTTTTTATTATGAATGGATAGAAATCTATTCTACACAAATAACTTTGGTTCACTAACACTAGCTATTTCATTGAAAATACTTTCATGAAAGAACTGATTTATTTGTCTGCTGCTTATTTGCACCACAATCTAGAGAGGGATTTAGAAATGAGTGTGAAACTAATACATAATTAGCCTATTAGGCTAGTAAATTCTCTCACAAGTCAATAGATCATTTTTCGGAGGCTAGCGTAATGTTTATTCTGAATTTCGGGTTGTCGAAGTGCTTTTCTAACAGAAATTAGTTCGCAGCACCGATTCAATAAACTATTACACCTCATTTGCATACTTCCTGGATGGACTGACTAGATGTAACAACTTCAGATATGGATTAGTAAATCAAGGAGATGCCAAGATTATCCATTAACGTTTAACGAACTGCTATATCTTGAATAGACAGAATTTAAATTTTATGTATAAGTTCAAACTCACTCGATCACCAAGTTTGGTGGAATTTAAATTTATCTGCCATAATTTTTGTACCTGACCCAAGAGTTCGAAGGCTGCATCAGAAATCAATGGACATGATGCCAAACTCAAATAAGCTAAATTGAGCAGTCTAAGAAAACAAAAGAAGTTTATTCATGTAAAATAGGAATTACATTAAAAATTTCAGTGTAGTTAAACAATGATGAGTCACAAAAAGTTCAAATATTCCAATTTTTAAACGTAATGTTGTAACAACAAACATAAATAGCTGATAATAGGAACAGTGACATAACTCACCTCACACTCATTGTATGAATCGCCTTATCAGTTAGCTTATGACATCTGGCTAAATATAGCTCCTTTAAATTTTCAGCGTATATCCCATCAGTTAGCAGTTTTATACCATGATCTGTAAGACTTTCACAACCACTTAACTTTAAAACGGTTAGATATGGCAAAGGTATCAAGTGTTGAAGTAAGTTATCAGTCACCTTGAAACAGCAAATGAACGAGAAAACTGAGTAAGCAGTATATATATATAAGATAAAAAACACCATGGGAGAACATGAGTAACAATGATGCACAACTTATGAATTGATCTTTGTTAGATCACCATCAGAAACCCGGAAGCACTGAACGGCCGTATGGCAATCGCGAGAATCGAAACCAGGACAATCGGCATTGCGCGCAAACGCCTAACCTCTGGACCACCGAGCCAGAATCTAACGGTGTTAATGTTCAATTTTTATCAGTCTTAGGTGCTACGCAACCTCAACCATTGTCTTCGGTAGGTACTGCCTACAGCGGACAGGACTAAAGTCCAGTGGCCATGACTTCTCCATAGAAATCAGTGAAACACCCTAGCGAAGCTAGTCACCAGTAATCACATTTTATGATTTTTTTCATTATAGATTTGAGTTCTATCGAAATCACGAATTGTAGTCTAACAACAATCGATCATTAATTTCAATGAAATTCAATAATCTCCACACTTCTATATTCAAAAATGATGACTAACTTAATAGCATTAGGATTTATTCACTATATACGAAATTGATCAATTGTGGAGATTCTCGATGCTTACGATAATTAACTTTTATGAACCTAAATTCTACTGGTTATAGATTTCTATACTACTAGAGTAAATATCATCGACTTGATTTTTAGCCCGGTGATTAAGTGAAAGAAGTTGTTAGTAATACCTCTCAACATGGAAACATTTCAAATGATACTGAATGTGATAGTTCATTGTTAGACTTGTCTTGCAAACACATCCTCAAAAGTAGATCGATGTATCACATTGCTGTAATTCATTAATTCTGAGGCAAATACCTTTTTTTCTATACAGTTTTCCAAACTTTATATTTAAATATCTTCTTTTGTTTATCAACATAAACATTTCTTTGGAAAACAGAAAGATTATGTATACAAAGCGAGTATATTTCTTTTATACGTACGTAACTCACCTTTATACAATCAACAATTGCAATTTCTCGTAAATTTAAGCTGTTATTTTCAAGTAATCCAGAATGAAGTTTCGGTGCACGATGAATTTTAACTTTAGAATATCTTCTTGATGCATTATCATCAGGTATAATATTGCTTAATCCAGATCCATCAAATGAATTGATATTTGAAATAAGGAGTCTTTTTAAATTCTTCCCACTTATTGATTGTAGACCATAATCCGTAATTAAATCTCCAACATTTGAATATGGATAAATTAAGGAAGAATCAGAATGTTTCGGAATTAAGCCAGTACATGTAATTGGTCTATTTTGTTGAATTTTCTTTTCTGCAACTCCATCAATTGAAGTTATATTTTTATGGAAAATGTCGATTCTTGAATGATTATTTATGTTAGATATAATTACGTTTTGGTTGTTGACCATCTCAAGCGTCTGTATTATAGAACAGTTCGATCCAAGAACCTTCAGAGAGAGATAGAGATTAAATACTTTGTATTTAAATCAGTTTGTTTGGATCGTAAATAGACTGCATTGTCAATCTTGTTATCTTTACTCTTCACTTTTAATAGACTTAACAAAGCACTTTATCCATTCAGTGTTCATCCTAATTTGTTCATAAATGTTTGTCTGAATTATTTCTGTACCAACCATTACAACCTTGTGTTTGCAAACTCATTGATACTGTGGGTTGAAATAACCTCATGTTCGTAGATAAAAAATAAAATCACATTTTATATTTTATGCCCTACTTCTTATTAATACATCCGTTAGGAATCTAAGTACTACTTTATTCAAAAACTGAACCAGTGGAAATTAATCCGATTGCTTTTAATAAACACAAACTAGAATAAGATAAAATGGTCAAGCTTTTTAGAATAGGTAATGCCGTTTAGAAACTTAGATAACAGAATGAGCTGAAATTTTTTCGAATTATGGGACATGTTAGAATGATATTTACACGGGACATGAATTTTCAAAAAAAAACTAGTTTAGTCTATCATTGAGTAAATAAAATTTGTAAACTTTAATTGAACGCCCACACACAGTTCTTATTGCTCCCATCATGTCATTCTACATGTCTCTGTCAAAAATCGATGTTGAGAATACTTTTTAGATAGATGTTCATTAGCCTTGGGTTTTCAACTGAGGAAGAGTTTGTCAAACAGTCGACAGTTTATAGGAGTTAAACGTTCTGCCATTTGATTATTAGTGGTGGTCATCGTAAAAAGAACCATTTATATAATAAATACGTATTCAAAATGAACAGGTTTTGGCAGTGACAACATCATCATCACGAAAGAATATTTCTCCAAATGTACTGTGTCAAATAACTCAGACAATGGTAATAATGTAGATACGAGTTCCCCGCTTATGTTCAAACACATCAGATGGTTGATTAATTGCTAAATTGAATTGCTGCGTGCTGTTAATGCAGGAAGCCTGGACGATCAAGCGAAGAGCATCATAACCTGAAATTGCAATCTTTGTGCGAACCGACTTCAGTATATTATTGCAACACACTTAAAACAGTTTTACCATATATTTACTATTGTTAAAGCCTTTTTTTCAACTCTACAACTTTCAGTCAATTCAGTTTGTTCTTCATGCTAAAATTATAATCAAATTATCAACTAATTAGACATTCAGAAGAAATGATTGTTTATGCTTACATTAAGATCTTTATCTGAAATCCATGGGATATCGTTCAATATCCAATGTTCCACCTGTGTGACACTTTTAATAATTATTTGTAAACCAGCTGATTCAATCTGAAATCATTTGATTGAAACAAAAGTATCATTTGTATCGTTAGTAAAAGAGATATACTTATGAGATATAGAAATTTGTGATACAAACTATTACGATTTTCTTTCATTGATCAACTTGAATAAGACACTTTTGCAAAAATACTAGGAATTCGATTTCATATTTATAGAAGTATTCATGCACTTTTCTCTAAAATATAGGCAAATTATGATTGCTTCACTTATTGAAAATCATATACTGAAATTTATAAAACTAATTTCTACCGTCAAGTTATTTGAAAAATAATATGCTCAATCGGTTCTCATTAAGAATCAAACAGTTTCAGATCTCGAACAAATATGATGTAGTAGAGCTTACTAAACGAATTTTTAAATTCATTCCCATTTTAAGATTAATTATCTAGTTACTATGTAAAGATAACCTTGAATACATTTGGCTCAATAATAAACAATCTTTTGACAATTAGATTAAATAACGTTTAGTTAATTGGATGAGACACTGTTTATGATTATAACTAAATGAAACTACATCACATACGTAAATTAAAACTTTAAATATATATATACTAAAAAAATGGAGTTCTTACGTATACACATCCAGATAAATCCAAATAAATTAATGATTTGAAACTTTCTAGCTGATTGAAAAACGTTGAGCAAAGTTGTGTTAACCGTGTACAATAGGCCAAACTCAAATATTGTAACATTTTTGTGTTACTTAATCAAAATTAGTTCCATGACGTTTTACATAAAATAAGTTAACATTATTATCATTAGCACAAAAATCGAAAATAAAAGAAAATTTTTTTTATGTTTGAAGAGGAAAATAATCGTCATGTAAATTATTGAGTCTTACGTTACATGAATTAGATCACTAGATAAAAAGTATGGTTATCCTGTATAAATATGTTCGTCAACATATAAAAAAGTAAACGATTCGTTGTTTAAATATAATTATTATCAGTTTAGTAGTTTGAAAAAACAGGAAATAACAGGTAACATTATTCTCTACCAAACTATAACTATCTTCATCGTTAATGTGAACAGTTGTTATTAACTGAGGACTGGCCTAAGTTCATTGAAACACACAGTTTTCCGTTGATCTGTGAATTAACATTAAGCAGTCAAAAGTACATAGTGAGAATTTCAACAAACAATTCTTAATAACTCAAATATCTAAATCAACACTTAGACCTTTAACTCTATAATATCAACAATTTCAAAAGCTATAAAACAAAAATATTCGTATAAATTTAGCCGTCATTTTACAACTAATAAATATGAGGAAAACAAGCTCATAGAAACATTCTTGAAATAGGAAACAATTGCAAAAAGTCTTTACTATAAGAAAATAATCTCTTCATTAAGAGTAGTAAGAGACTGAGACAAATGGATAAATTAATCTTCAAACAGAATTTACGGAAGCTTGATTATCATAAAATATGAAAATTCTTCAATTTAGTCCTCTGTTCATCCGAAACACTTAATATCCTTTCAATTAGGCCTGTTCTAACCTTAGTTTGCCTAGTTTTCGGTTAAATGAATAACTATTTATTCAAAAGTTACAAATTTAATTATACACGTTCAAAAGTTTTTTGCTAATGACTATGCTATAAGCAAATAAAATGTGAAGATGTTAACTATAGCTTCCTTTTCAATTTATCCTGATTTGAAAATAAACATTTGTTTGAATAATAACAAATATTCAAAACATTATTATTCTTAAGAGACCATAAATAATATACAGCACATTTATAAATTTTAAAAAGAAAAATGGATTCTTACATTGCTAAATGACGAACTGAATCATCAGTAATTTGCGTATATGATAAATTTAAGTAAAGAAGTAAACTACATTCAGTAGTTATGATACGAATTGCATCATCCTGAATAAAATACGAAAAAAGGCATTAAAGTATGGAATCTAAATACTGAACGTTTACGGTATTTCAATATTTTCAAAAAGGATAATTTATTGATTAACAGCTTCATTTATAAATATGTAAAGCAGCCTTTTGTCCATGATCGTGTTGTACGTCAAAAATAAGGGGAAAAACATTTTCAAACTATGTAACCATAAGGACAACGATGATCAGACAGTTCCCTTTGTACGTTAGGACATTTCGTGAAAAACATGCGGATATTTAAAGACGATAAAATACAGGTAAATATGTCTGTCTTTAAACATACATACGCATTTTGTGATTTTCGAACTCGGTGACTATCTTAAAAAAATAATAATTTGTCATTAAATACTGAAGTTTAATCCAAATAGTGAATAAATCATGGGGATTAGTAGTACCATATGTTCTAAATGACAAGAATATTCAACATTTATCAAAACCTGAACTAATAATGGAATTCGATAACAAAGATTAATTTTAGGAGAGTGTTAACTTGTTCTCAAATAGACGTAAACATTAATTCATCGGTAGATGTGAAAACAGAAACTGGCTTTAATCAACAATAATTAAAGTTGACAAACATCAATTTTGAGCAATTTAAACAAAACTATGAAGATCCCAATTAGAATATTAGCATTTTTGATAATGAAAAAAAGTAAGAAGATGAATAAGTGTAAAGCATACAAAATGAATGAATTGAGTTCAATTTTTTTATCGTAGTTTTTTCTCCAGTTTGTCAGTCACGAGAACCATAAGTAGTATGTGGACGTCAACCGGCATTATGTCAAGCGAGATTGACTTCACTGACTGATATTATGTTTTGTATCAACTTGTACGTTAATCAACTTTGGATGTGACTTTATTATTTTTTATAAATGGAGATAAAAATGTAAATTGTTTTATCCAACTGCAGCATAATTAGTACAAAACTGATAAATAGACGAATGAAAATTTTTACGGAACAACGAAACTGCATACCAAAGAAAAAAACATTTCTTCAAAAATTACTTCTGTCATGATAAATGATTAATCTCAAGACTCACTGTAAATACATTTGCATAAAGAAATTTTTCAAAACTTGTGCAACATTTATAATCACACTATCATCATCATCAGGTCATGAAATACTTTCTAGTTTCGTATAAAGAAAAATACAGGATGCCCATTATTATTTGTAAATTTACTTAATATCTATTAGCTTGTTTTAGACTTACTGTAATGCCAGTGCATTTGGATAAATTGATATCTTGTAAATTAGCGCAACTGGTTAAACAACGAAATGAATTTAGAGTAGGCAAATGATTATCACGTAAATTAATATGACGTAAATATATTCTTCGTCTTCTTGTAAGCTTGAATAATAGTTCATCTGTTAAACTATCAAAGAAAGAAAGAACAATATGACCAGTACATTAGAGTAACTTAATAAATGAACAATTTTTTTCATTTTCAAATATTATCAGTTTCTAGTGGTGGACTATTTAAATCTCAGATATCTATTTCTAGTTGGTGAAAATTACAAGCTTAATGTATAATGAAAAATATTTGCGATAAATTACGTACACATACTGTTAAAGCAGTCTGAAGTCTATAAAGAACAATAATTCAACTCTATATAGTTTTCAACTGTTCCATAACCAATAAATGGACCCAATTAAAAATGGCAAATTTAGTTTGATATCTACAAATGTAGAAAATTATGAACGAATGGCTAATTAGAATTTGAACAAATCTACATTAAAAACGACATGAAACAATTACCTTCTACCGAAGCATGATAAATTTAAATAGTTTTTCTTATCCATTTCACTAGCTATCGATTGCCAATAATGCGATACACAAGCAGCTCGAGCTAAATCTCTAGGTGGTAAGTAGCCAAATATCTAATCAGAAAAAGAAATTCAAAACAAAATGGAAATAAGAATAAATAAGTAAATCTTATTTTTAATTTGTGAATTATTTTAATCAACTATTATGTAGACAAGACTAAACGAAGTTTTTTCATTGACATGTAGTGTAATTTAGTTAATTGCAAATTTAAAACAATTTACAGCACTAACTATATACACCGAAAAAAATCTAATTTTCTAGATTGTGAAATCTAAATATTAATCTCAACGTTTTTCTATATTAAACAACAAGAATTATAGTGTGTTTTCAGTCAAGTAATTTTCAAAAATAAAGTTTGAAACGACATAAGGGCATCCTTAAAAAGTATATATTAGACCAAAATGAGAAGAATCATACACTGCATGAGTAATCAATAAATTAGCCACTTTCCTCGATTATTCATTAGGTTTTTGAACTCGCTCACTGATTGAATAATTTTGTTAATGTGAAATCCACTTAGTTCCTTAATGAATACGAGCAAGAAGAAGACAATGGTTTAATAGAAGACACAAATTTTATCAAAAATATTCAACATCCTAAAACTTTACGTTTGTATGAATTATTGGTGTTTCACAGTTAAAATCATAATTTCAAGGGATCAGAAAATATTTATCAAAAGGAGATGAAAATATACTGGTAAATTTCAGTCTTGGTTATCATGTTGATTGCATTTAAGAATATTGTAGCAGGAAACAATTTTATATTTTCTGTTTATGCTAAACTGAGAAAATATTTTCAACCTTTAGTTATTAATTCACCACCTATTTTTATTACTTTGAAAACGAAAATAACACTTGACTACTTTATAAACATTAGAGACTGCAATTCATTGCTAAAAACAATGAAGTATCGATAAGGATTTTAATGCAATCACACGATTATGACCCATTGGCTATTTATAGATTTAATCTCTCTTTGAAGGAGCACTAGTTACTCTTGTATAAATTCCAAACAAGAAACACATCTATGCACAGTTCCATATTTATTACCTTTTACTGAATTGCTGAAAATTACATAAAAATCTAGGCATAATCTATGTCGACAGATTAGTTGCTAGCTGTACGATAAACGTAATCAGATGAACTTAGTAAATGAAGATTCAATAGTAAGGCTGATCAAATCGCTTTGATTCATTATAAGTTTGCTTGTCCATTGTACTATTTAAATGAACATAATGAACACAATGTGAATTTAAATCTTTAATCAGTAGTCCAGCTAGGAGCAGTATGTGTGGATCAATACACAGTTGATGTGAGCCAAACTATTTCCATATTTTATTATTCCAAGTGATTTAAACTTATTCTGAAGAAGTGATTCAACATACTTTATGTTGTATGGTATCAGGTAGTTCAGATAATCGGTCACGATAATTTTCAGTTTGGCTTATTTTACCTCCTAATGTAAGTAGTTGACTTTCAGACTCTGATTCATCTGACTTTTCTCCATCTGATTTTTCTTGCATTTTCTACACATAAAAAAAGGAAAAACATTTTAAAATCATTAAAATAAATAAGCAAGAACATATTTACATATTTGGCCATTATGAGGTTGTACTTCTTTCATTTTCAATAAGTATTTTGATGCTGTTTTATAGTGGACTTCTTTGCTGTCAATTTAGCTGTTCGATTCGATTCAGAAAACTAGGTTTTGTAAATAATTAATTTCCTTTTAGTGAAAATACTCAGCTATAAAACTGAAAGATATAATAACCTTCTTTGCGTAATATTATCTTTGTTTGTGCTGACCAGTAAATGTAGTTCGTAAAAGGACAATATAGGCATTATATATCTGAAATTTGCCAATTGCATGAGAATTTCCTATCGATCACTAAATGTATCAAGTTAAAACGCATTAGATAATAACGAGAAATATAACTCAGACTATTCAGTCAGTTCCTATTCAGTCAACCATCGAAATTAAGCGTTTCCACATAAGTGTATAATTTTGTCGGTCCCACAATATCCGTACATAATTCTTTGATCATAACTTATATTTTGGTGCAATCACTATGTTTCGGCTATTGATTTGAAATGCATGGATGTTCAAATTAGTCGTAGTCTTAGCTCCATCGAGAAAAGTTATAGTTAAAGATAGAGAATAGTGTAACTTTGTTTTATTGAAGGTTCTTATTGGTCTTATTGAAGGTTCTCAATATGTTTATAACAATTTCTCGAAACTAATATATCTACTAGTATCGCATTCTCAAATGAAAACTATTAGATGTTACATACTTTCATTAATAACATCCAGTAATAAAAGTAATCAAAAGTAGTACCGTCATTTAGTTACATAAACATAAGTTATTTACTTGTACCAATAAAAATAAACAACTGTATTTTTGCAAGTATTAACTGTATACACTCACAGAAAAATAATCCTTTGTTTTTCGAGCCTCTGCAACATTTTTTCGCCAGGCTTTATAAAATAACATTGTTACTGTGAAGTCTTTAATTTGGGTGATTAAAGATTGTGCCACTAGATAATATGGAGAAAAAAAACGATTTCATTATCATCATAAAAATATTTTATTAAACAAATAAAAGTAATTAAATTTTGAGAAAATTCGACGTTACTTCATGCTTACAATCTTACAAGAAATATTTGTAATTTATTAGTTGACTATATCAACTTTAACACTATCTTTTTGTGATACAAACACGTTTTGTTCAAACATTTATTAAGATTACTATAATTTCTCATCAGTTTTTATAGTTCAAGTTGGTGGTCAATAGGATTATTCAGCTTGAGCTAAATACTCTCTTATAATACGGTATATAAATCTATATTTCTTACGAATGTAAAAAACCACACTCGTTAACATGAAAGTAAAGACTATACAATGAACTTATCACATTCAGTTTGAAGGTTAAATCAAATTTCTAGATTCAGAATGAGAAAAATTATGAGTAACGTTGACTGAGATAAACGACGTACTCAATTATCAGATGCTGTGTAATGTATGAAAAGACATTCATTCAGGTGGATAACAATAGAAATTTGATCATTTAATAAATAAACTGTTTAAAAATCTATAGGAAATGAAAATTTAAATCAACTGAAATTCTGAAAGTAACTGATAACAATAAGATATGTATATTCGGCATATTCAGTCCTCTCTTATGTAAACGTTAATCTATCAATAACAGATTTGTACATACATGTATTTTAAAGAAAAATTCGTTCGAAAACATAAAAGTATACCCAGTTTAATTGCTTACTTCGTTGTTTATTTTTCACAAATTGTGTGTATTCTTGCCATCCCCGAAATATAATCTTTTTCAATCTAAATTTCATGCTTATTTTTGCAATGAAGTTTATTCTGTACATGTAATTAGCTCGAGCCCGTTTAATGATAAAATACAATTTCCAGGCACTTGAAAAAACCAGAAGATTTTAAAAAAAGAGTAAAAAAAATCCTTAAACTTGTTAAATAATAATTTATAGTGATCAAGGTTAAGATTACCGTGAAACATAACGCGAAACAGTTGCTCAGCAGAGCAAAACTGATCATTGATCCTTATTTAACCACGTAATAACTATTCTTTTTACGGACGTATGTATGTGCAAGGTCTATAGGAAAGCAACTCTTACTTTATAAAATTTTTCTAAAAGTAATTCTAGCAGTTCGACATAATGAAAACATCAAAATTGTCTAAAAAGAATAAATTCCTAAAATAAGACGTTCATGAATGCTATCTAATTTAAAATAATGTTTTTATCATTGACTGCGAACAATCAATTAAATCCACGAAAGACTAGATTTTATCTGTTATGACTTAGAACACTTAGGTACGGAGAGCCTTGACTGCTTGTGTTCAGTACAGAAATTTTAAACAACTGTGTCAAAACTTTATGATTGACTTCTCAGAATTCGATCATCTGAGTTTGAGTAGTTATCGTCTAGTACTGTAAATAAAATTATGCCTAACTATAATAGCACCGTTATGCAGCATCCTAAATGTTTCTGAAATCGCATCTTACAATATCATCATTCGTTCACTGTGATATTCAACAGCTCTCAAACCAGCATCATTAAAAGATGGAAAAAGTACTTCAGGTAATTAAATTCGAAACTTTTATTACAATTGATTATTGAAAGATACTAGAAATAGTATAAACCAATTACAAAGTGTTCAAGTCTATGGATAATAAAATTTATTGAATGACCTCTATCATGATTTTCATGCACTCGTTCTTACAGCATTAGAAATTATTTCGGTGAAACCATCTCTTACAATAAGTTAAGGATTATATACATATATACATATATATAAATATATCGCCTACAAAAAACTCATTCAACTAAAATCCGTGTTCAGCTTCTTATTACCACTGTCACATAGCTTAATTAATCGTTTGCCCACATTGAATTTAGATCACAAGCCACTATACTATTTCAGGATAGTTTAATTAGAACTGTATCGTTAGTTTATTGATTAATATTTACTGTTACTATTCAAATTAGCGGATATGATCTACCACAATATAAAAAAGATATTTCGGCTAATGAGTTTAATATTCTACAATTTGATGCGTATATCCAAATACATCTCACAAATTATTCAATTTACTAAAACCGTATTTGTAAAAACGTCCTAAATTAAATCTATGTAGAGCCATTAAAGCGTTGAATTCGATTCGTAATAAAATTTTTCAGAATACTAATTAATGTCTTATGCAGTCAGTACCTAATAACAAATATGTAATTTATGCTTATCACTCACGAATCAACTAAACTTAAGGTTGATTTAGCTTGAATAAAGTTATTTGAAATATGCGGATCACCGCCGACGATCACCGACGAATACAGTTGGAAAATAGGGTAAATCGGTTAATTTATCTTCACTGACCTGGTACATCGAATAAATGTTACCATTATTGCTTTTTATTAGGAGCGTTACAAATACATTGTCCAAAGGATGTTGAAAACACGTGTTTATCAAAATGATCACAGGATTAAAGGATTAAGAAACTAACCTGAAACACTTTTTTAGTATTGATTGCCTCTGGGCTGCATATGCTTTTGCTAGCATTTCAGGTGTAGGCTTATATTAAATAGTAGAAATCAAAGTATTAGCGTGTTCAGATATATGTATATTATTTTTTTTGATAAAATTATGTTGAGATACACTATCTATCAAGTCATGTTTTAAATATTTGGCCTGATCAAAACTATTTCATTCTACATAAATTCTTTGTTAGTTTATTTTATTGTAGTTATATCAATCAACATGAAAAGTTAGTAAATGCAAATTACCGATGAGTTTTCAAAAAATATACCAAATGTTCAATTAATTTTTGAGAATTAAGACTGTGCTCGTATTTTTGTGATCAGTGATCATCAGTGAACTAAAACTTAGCAAACAAGATAAACAATTGATGAATCTTTCAAAAGAAGGTCTCTACTCCCAGAAGTAATCAACTTGAGCAGATTGTAAATAAAATTACAACATTCATAACCTAATAGCTATGATAGTAAAATTATTGTGATACGAAAAAAGTACTGTGACACTCATTGAATGACCCTACTATCCATGATTCATGTTATTTATCAAGGTCAAGATAATGTTGTATGGAACTGCATAAATTGACTTATTTGTTAATTAAATCTTTTTTTATCATTTCTTGTAATCACGATAACTATATGATAATCAAACAGAGAATCCTATCTAAAAAAATATATCATGAACTCTTATTATGGGAATGATTTTCTTTTGTATTTAAGTAAGTAGGCATTTATTCGAAATCTAGACAACTATAAAGCTAAAAAAGCTATATGCAGTTGAAAATTGATGAATATTTCTTCTCAAATGAATTGAATTTCAAATTTTATATCTTAAAAATTATATTGAGTTACTTTTATTTCTATTTTGGTATTTACTTGACGAGTAGTAAATAAGGTAAGCATCTTTGATGTGATTTTTACTTAGAGAGGCTTTCATTTCAAAAATCCAATGATAGTGTTGTGCTAAAGTGAATAATTAATGTGGAGTAAATATATATTCACTCTAGCTGGAAGTGTTTCATTAGAATATGAATAGTAAAAGCAGTAAAACATTTAACTTAGCACATGTTTTCTAACTAGAGTTCATCGAAGAAGCAAAAACTTTCATCTTATGAAGTTCAGCAGAAAGTAGTAAAACGTAATATGTATATTCATCAGAGAAAGCTTTAACCTGATCACAAACTTGGAAGCACATTTAGTTCGGGTCACTATTATGCGCACGGGGTAAACATCATTGATAATTACGTTTGCTATCACTTGAATCTGAATGATATCAACCCGTTGAGAGATTCGAAATATTTAACTTCATTTGTGTTAATTTCGCCTAACTGGTCATGTGTATACAAAACTCTTCCGGCAAAAGATAAAATTTAAATAAACATAAAACTTACCTGATATTGTAATTCTTCTGGTAACAACTAATTAAATAAATATAACAAAAGAAATAAATATGCAATATTTTAGAGAAACAATTTATATAAGAACAAAAAATTGAACTTTAAAACAATTACTATTCTCTGAATAAGATAAATTATCAGCAAATATCGTTAGAAATATTCAGTTGAGTAACAGTAAAGTTTGTTACATCATCTCAATCCTTTTGAGAAATACCATAAATAGTAGAAGTACCTTACCTAAGTTGTCTTCGAAGCGCAAACATTTTTAAGAATCTTCATTCTAATGTCAACCTGTCAGTTGATCATCAAAAATAAACCTTAATATATAGTAACTTCAATAGGATGATCGTATAAAGTACTAGGACTAGAGTACCTTGGTTTGACGTTTTACGTTTTAATATACATGTGTTTGATTATAAAGTAATTTGCTTCATTCCATTTAATTATTGATAATTTAGAATATCGGTTATGTTCACATCTAATCTGATAGTTGAAGTTCACGGCGTGTTGATTTAAACAAGACATAAGTGCCTAATGTTTGATAGTATACAGCGTTGGGCAGATGCACTGTTGAACGTTCTTACAATGAAACGAAACAAATGTTCATTGTTATTTCAGCTAATATCAGTTGGTAAAAAAAGGTTAATTTATAAACAGAAAAGCGTATGACATGAGAATTGAGTATAACTTACAAATTCTAGTTTTGATGTACCAAATAGAGAATGCATTAATTCATGATCGACATATGGATGAGACGGTTTCATATCCGGATCAATAAACGTATCCCTTTACATTAAACAATTTAAAATAGTGAAAATGTAATATAAAATGGTTGGAAGTGTTCTTAAAGATTTCATAAGTTTATAACTTAAGTCTAAACACATCATCATCATCGTCAATACTCATAGGAAGTTAAGGAAAATAATATATATTCAAAACTGCAACTGCTTTTGACCTATAACCTCTAGATCTATTTTCATTAGTAGAAAAATTTGTTGTAGATACGTTATCGTTGAATGCTGTATATTCCAGTTACTGGAGCTCATGAACGTTCACAACACTATTTAGTGATACTTTTTATGACTCATTCAACTGATGTTAGTTTGGTCAACTTAATTAACATTTAATAATTAAAAAATCAAATAACTTCCATAAATTGATTTGTATTACAAAGAGTTTCAAAAGTTACTATAGTTAATGATTCTGTATGTTTAGTCAAACCTTATTATAGTTTAAATATTTTCAGTTAGTTAGTTAGTTAGGAATTATGGATAAATTTACCTATAAAACTGACATGATGAATCACAAAACTATTGAAATATTTATTCATTAGCCAGATGGAACTTTGACAATAGAAGAAAACTACTTGGTGTTTCAGTTTTACGTTAAAACTAAGCATTCATGAGAATGAATCGAAAATGCGGATATGGCATGATTCACGTTCATTGAGTTCTTATTGAAGTGACATATAACTTACCAGTTTAAACTTATAAAACCAATTTCGTAAAGAAGTTGAAGTTTTTCTGCAATCCATCTCCGAGGATTTTCAGGCAACATGACGCTTAATCCACCTAAAAGTGCCTTCAATAAAAATTGAAAATAATTGCAAAATAAACCTTCAGAACCTTCGTAGCATTATCATTTTGATAATGAATATTTTTCTGAGAAGTCACCAGATATGTAAAGAACTATGAAATATTTTCAAACCACATTAATTTCATAACAAATATCTTGCATTGTAATCATATTCGGTTGTCTAAACATTAACGAAGACAACATAGTGTGTACTAATTGTTCCATCTACAACTAATCACTATTGTTTCCACAACATTGCTTGCTAATAGTATAAATAGTTAACTTTTCGGATGACTCCTCACATATTTTGTTATTTATCTATCGAAATTTAAATCAGCCCTCATATCAACTTCTTAATTTTAACTGAACTTTTTTCTCTAACAAGGAGCTTTCGTTTTTTTAGATTGCAGACAAAAAACTCAGTGAAATAGTTTTTCAATCACTTTTGTTCTTAATTAATTGAAATTTCAAACTGACAACCAATTATTGACATATTGTTAAGATCTTAACAAAGTATCGAATACGTATTCGGAAAACATTTGACTAAGTAATAGTTTATATCACGGAGTTACTGTAGCTGGAGAACCACTGAAACATAAAAGTACTGTAAAGATTTTTCATACTGGCTTGAGACTTTTCGGCTTTGAAGACCGTTATTATAGCCTTAAATCTACTAAGAAACTTCAGAAATCGTTCATAGTTTTGAACTCAGTTAATCAATCATTTTAACACCCTTCTCATTGTTATAGTCTTCTTAGCCTACCCACATGAATAACAATTGTAAGAATAGTCTCGCTTTAGATATAACTGAGTAATGACTGGTGAAGACCACTCACGTCGATAGTATGAGTGGTTTCACCGACAGAAGTGGATAGTTATCCATTTCGATTTTAAAGTCAATGGTCTAAAAGTGTTATATTCACCATGAGATTTGAAGTTCAAGAGTCTCGATTACCACTGATGTAGTGGTTGCTTACTACTGAAGATTCCTGAGCTTAGATAAAAAATGTGTCTATCACTTATTTTATTTCAGTGATTGTATAACCGATGTTATACAATACTGAACAATCTTCATTAATCTCGCAGCTTGACTGAGGATTTATATTTATGCTATTATTTAAGCAATCGTTCACGTTGGTTTATGACTTAACTTTTAGGAGTTTATCATCAAGATAATTAATTTTGAATCATCACAAAACTGTTCTGTTTATTAAGAAAACTAATATGGACAAAGAGTTAACTATTATTTCAGCACTTTAATGTCTATTTATTCTGAAATTATTGCAAAAACATTTTCATTCGATTAAGTGATAAATTATTCGCAATTAGATTAAGAAAACTAACATGAACTGAAAATTAAAATAATTTCATCAAAATACTAAGCCGAATTCATGCAATGATTAATTTACATAGATATGTGCTAAAACTAATTAATAATTAATATAATAACTTGTACTATTTTCAGAGGAAACAATGTTTCTAACTAAAAAAAACGACCTATTTGTATTATTTTTTGCACTCAGCTAATCAGTTGACGGTTATTAACCAACAAAATGTGATATCACTGATGAGTATTATGCATATCACAACTAATATTTAGTTTATTTGACTCTATCAAATCTTTATACTTACTATACTATAGAAAAGTTAACATTTTTGTTATGTGAATAGAAAATAAAAATCACTTATCACTTCATCGCAGGAATATCCCAAAGATAAGCAAAACACAATTTACTGAAAGTATAGAAGGTTCCGGGAGTACTTGGAAAAAAATTGTTCAGTTTAAAATAAGTTCGCTGATTAGTTTAGTATTTCTGAATATATTTTGTTTGTTTTACTAATTTTCTGTGTCTCACCTAGCTTAGAAATGGACTGTGTACATAGATTGCTTAACAATACACGTTGGCAATAATAAAGTTAGATTAGCGTATATTACTTCAACCGTGTAAGAATAAATGAAGCATCTGGATGTATTAGCCTCAAATGATCAGTCATATCATAACTTCAACAAAATTAGTTAGAAGTCTTGACTTAATCTGCATGTTCTGTTCACTAGTCTTGAAAACCGACAATGCCAAATCACTTACTAAAACTTAGAGAAGTTAGACGAAGTAGGTGTCGTGGTAAATCGTTTGTCTATCAACTGCGAAAAAACTGACTTAAACTCAACTACATCTATTTCTTTTTAGGGAATTCAGTAGTATTACTGGCGGTCAAATACAGTATACCTGGAAGCTGGTTATATTAACCTTTAATTAGTTAAATATTTGAACCAATCATTAGGATGAGCAAACATAGTTAAGACCTAGATAACTTTATAAGGAATATTATACAGAATTTAATTGCAATTTTACTGACTAGATTACATAGAAATGATTGCTATAAAGTAAGCTTCAGTATTTTTTTTATCCATGTTAATCTAGTTTAGGTATCTGATGATTTCATTGTATATTTAAAAATATCAATCATGCTAATAAACAATTCTTACCTCGAAAATCTCATATAAATGATGTTTTCGTGTATATTTTAATAGGTTTGCGTCAGTTTTCCTAGTATAAATTTCTATTTGATCCTACAATATTGATTTTAACATAAATATATAAAATCTGTTTTAAAAAATTGAACTTTTTCTGCACTGTTTACTGAGTAAGCCAAAAAAGAAATAAAATTTCTGTAATAAATTCATATATTTAGTTTTCGTTTACACAAATACACGTATGGCATTGAACTATTTCACAAAATTAAAACGCGGCAGTGGATTTACAATAGCAGTTTCAATTTCCTCAAAAACAGTATGAACATCTCGATCTGCATGCACTCTAATTACGCATGAATTATAGAAATCAATAATGTCATCTTTGTTAGCGGTAAATCTTAATAGCTTTGGGCCTATAACACATTCTTCATCATCTGGATGCTGCAACGCACGTTGACTTATGCATAAATCTTCAGTAGATTCAAATGCTGTATGAAAACGTGTACCGGTGATTGGATCAATTCTGCGTCCAGAAAGACGTTCAGATGCACACGACTGATGTATATCCAGTAGAATAACTCGATTAGGATCTATTTTATGTGATGCCAGTAATTCTGCTTGTTGACGTGTAAGAGGATATCCGAAGAGGATCCAACCATATGTGATGCAATCATTTTCATTCAGTCTAGTTTTCACAATTTCGGAGATGATAGCATCCGGAACTAGGTTTTTTAAAAGGATGAGAAATAACATGAAAACACAAATCGTGGTGATTATTCCTATAGCTACTACTAAAAAATTTGAGTCTTCAAAGAGATAGATATTGTTTGAGTAATGATTTGCGTAACAAGCTTAAAAGAGACAACTATGATACCTGATGGTCGTCCCGTCCCAGTGTGGGACTCCTCGACAGTGTGAATCCATGACCCGATAAGCATGAATCGAAGCTAGGACCTTCGGTCTCACGTGCAAACACTTAACCTCTTGATTTCTGATATGACATCCAACGGTGATAATGTCTAACCTCAATTAATCCACAATAGTAGGAGATGTTTATCCTTTGTCACCGGTGGGTAACTGGCTTTAAGCCCGTTAAGGTTGAAATCCACTAGTCACGACTTTTCACTAGAATCCCAAAAATTCGTTCCCCAGTCTTCACGATTCTGTTATAGCAATTATCATGTGCTCAATATTGAAATACTTCTTAAGGGAGTGAAGTTCAACCGTATCGATTCATGCTTATCGGGTCATGGATTCACACTGCTGAGGAGTCCCATACTAGGACGAAACGGTCATCAAGCGCTTCTAGGTTTCTAATAGTGGTTCAAAAATGATCGATTCATAATTCCGGTAGAACTCGGTAATCTCACAACCCTTTAATGGCAATCATGATACATTTAGAATCATAAATACAATCTATGCCGATACCACTTTAGTTTTGTTTCGAATATTTTGAATTAAAAGGAAATTCAAGTGACTTTCATCAAGCATTTTTTGAAATTGCCATCATTCATAGTGTTCTTCATGTTAAAAAGGGCTTTAAACAGCGCTGTAGGCATAACCGACCTGCCTTCTTTACTTTCAAGCCACAAAGCTATAGGGTTGTTACTTCTGAGGTTAATCAGGTAGATAGTAAGATGTCAAACAAATTTTGTGGAGATGTTTATCGCAGTTTCAAGAGCGGTTTATTAGCGATGGCTTGTAGTGTCGTGATTGGTCTATGGTCAATAGTCAGTCGGTGCAGGCGTGATCGAATCCAGGGATAGTTTAAAGTAAGAGCACGGTTGAAAATTTTTTATTACATATTTCTTGAATCCAACAATCTGATAGTTTATCAAAGACTGGTTGTTAAATGGCCTTGACTAATAACATTTTAAACAACAAAGACTATATCTGATACAGAAAATGATGGGTATAGTAGCAAGATAATCTTAATAAACATACCTGGGATATTCTTTTGAATATAGGTTTTTATTGTGTTTCCAATGGAAGAGCGATTAGCTATTTCACGAAGTACAAGCTGTTCACAATCCACTGGAATTAATCCATATTTTTTAGCTAACAAACTTGCTTGAGTATGTTTTCCGGCTCCAGGATAGCCTAACAGAACTATTTTCGGAGTTTGTAATGCAAAACTACGATGGCGTTGGTTAACTTTTGCCAAAACTGAACAGTATATATCATTGATTGGCTGGTCTGCATTAAATTCATATGCAACATTAGAATAAATTCTCTTCAAGAGGACCACTTGTCTGTTGTATTCAGCATAAATATTCTCAATTAGTTCTTCATCGTTTTCTGCAATTTTGACCAAACGTCTTTCAACTGACAAATCATTTGGGGGGTTATATATTAGGTTGTATAAATCTAATAGAAATTTAAAATTCGGGATTATCTCCTATTTTTACCTCCAGTTTCGGGATCCATCCTTTCTCCTGATGCTCTTTCAATCAATGTTAGCAAAGGCGCATCCAGAAAGACTATCATGAAAATTTCATATAAAATAATTGTCTTTTCATACTTGCATAATCAGGAAATATTCCTTCATGTATAAGTGCCTTTGCTTCTTTTTCACATTTTGGGAAATCAACAATAATATAACCTTTGGATTCACAATCAGGTTCATTCAGCCGTCTCTTCAAAGCTGCAGTTAGTTTTTTTAGTGTGACATTCTATAAATCAAAACAATAGCACAATCAAAGTAATCTCATTTTCCAAGTATTTGGTTAATTCAATTATTTTTCGCATTCGTACGCGAAAAGTTACGGTTAGACATGTGTACGAAATAAGAAAACAGATAAGCACATGGAATTGCCATGGAACAACATTTAATGGCACACGATTTGATTTCTATTTTTACAAACGATTAATTAGGCTATGGAAAAAAATCTTCGCTTCGATTTCCATATATTGTGCATAGGCAAACCCCATCTGTGCGACGGCGGTAATAAGAAGCTAATTACGCATTAGGATAGGTGAGTATATTTCATACGATCGTTTACGCAGACGCACTTGGCAATGTAAAGCATACAGACAAAGCGAAGCAGTGTAAAAGGCGAGTGAGCAAACTCAATATGATGAGACATGATTTAGTATTTATAGCCAGACAAAAATGAGTTACATATGTGATAAGTGAAGTAAGTATGCACAGGTACTCGAATAAAAACAACAAAATATATGCGAACATGATAAATGTTCATCCCAATGGCTGGGATAATTCTTGTGGGCTCAGAACATGTGTACACACAACACTGTCGCGCTTTTCAGGAAACACTCAGTCTGACAAAATATCGACACCTTAAGATCCACCCATGTGCCTTTCCTTTTCACTCAGTCTACGTACTTGAGCGTTAGAGTGACTAGCCATTGTTACTATATCAGAGCGCCTAACTTTGTCAAGGCCAGAGAGCTCCCAGAAACACGAAGCCTATACCGTGTTGTTTCTGTATCTGCACAAGGTGAAATAAAACTGATGATTTTACTCGGATCATTGATGAGCGTTTCGGAGACCTGCCATACATCGATTACACGGGATTCCTGAGTTTTGGCTACTGAAGCCTGTTACCCTATTTGGCACAAGTTTTGAACATTAAAAGCTCCAATATGTAAATTGTAGCGGAGTTTCAGAAGACCGGGAACAGAGTTTAGTGAGCTAAAACCGTTTGCTTCAGCGGCGCTGATTGACAAACGATTAAAAGAAGGTTTGGTCGTGGGGACAAGATTTATAAGGCGGTGTAGAAGGGATATGATTGTTAACGATTTGGTCTCCTGTGTTTCTATGGGTATGAGGGCAGACGTTACTTCCCTGCTTCCCTGACCTTGTAAGGGCTATGGTTGTCAGAGGAGGCATGGGCCTCGTGACTTGGTCCTCCATGATTCCTCCGAACACTTTATTTATGCAGGTGTAGTCGATTTGGTTCTGTGTAGTGTAATCCGGTGAAATCCATGTAGCTTTGTGTATGCGTTTGTGTGGGAATATGATGCCGCCTATGACCAGTTTGTTGAAGGCACATAAGTTTGCAAATCTCTCACCGTTTTCGTTCGTTTCCCCTAAACCATGTCATCCCATGATGTGTTCATATCCGGTGTTTTCCATTACAACCTTGGCATTCTGGTCTCCCATCAGAATGGTCAAGTTCTGTTGCTGATCATTTCTCAACAATTGACTGAAGTATCTCGTAGAAATGATCTTTAACGTCTTCAGTGTAGTCATTAATATGTGCACGGCATTGGACGACGTGCAGTACAATGCCTTGTTTCTTTGTTTTGAAGGATGCATCGATGATCCTAGGTCCATCAGATTCCCATTCTCTAGGTGCTTCTTGAGCTACTTTTGACAGCGTTAGTGCGACTCTATACGTTTAAAGCATTTTATTATTCATGCACGGTACATATTAGCATCTCTCATGAAGTTAATCTCCTTTGTCTAACACGACTTCGATGTATTTCAGTGATTCCAAGTACCATAAGTTTATATGTCATCTGCCTCGTAGCTTCCGAAAAAACTCAGCTTTCATCACGAAATATCATAACTCTTATAAGTGAAGACTTTCAAACTTACAGGGTAGATTTTCGCGTTAGCGTTTGTTTAGCCTGTTGGTTTATTACGGGATCGGGTCGCTAACTCCATGTTAAACGTCCTCCTGTTTCTGGGCTTGAGAACGATATTTAACAAAAGACAAAGTGCTTTTTGTGCATAGCATCATGTTAAAAGGCGTGAGAAGGTTAACAACCACTTAATCCAAGAGCTATTCACAAATACACTATCAACATATCAAAATTGTTCACTTGAGAACGTGAATGAACTTTCATAGTACTTAAAAAGGTACTGCTTCAAATAATTTTAGCATATTTGGAGAATTCGCTCGATACATAGTCACAAATCAAAACAATAGTCTTGATTATGAGCACAGTAGTAAGAAGAGAATGCAACAAGTTTTTAAATATTAATCTCATCAGGGAGTTCATGTAGGTTAAATGCATCTTTCAAAGAAAACTCAGATAATTGCAACTTTAGTTCAGCAGTTTGATCACTCACTTCGCGAGTTCAAGTGTAGGTACGTCATATACTGATAATATTTGTAGTTATGAATTCAAGATAATTCGCATGAATCTGGTAGTTCAGAACCATAAGGTTTAAGCAAACAGAATTCCCCTCTCTTTTAAGTATTGATTTTAGCAACTTTATTAAATTACATTTACTCTGAATTCAAATTTCCTAACATCAGTGATGGATTAAATGTCATCCAAGAACTTGCCTCCAATAACAAGAACAGATAAAATTTTTAAATTATAGTTACGTTTACTCATATAACCTAGACCAGAACTTAATGCCGACAAAATGGTTGTGACAGAATGGACCAACTTCATGATTTCAAGTAAGTTAAAGCAATACAAAAACGACCAAAACACTTTTCCTTGTATTCACTTATTCAAGCTTCTTGGGACACATGCTATTTTTCAAGTAGTCGATCGGTGCGATAATGGGTAATGAATTATGTATCCAGGTGGCTTCATAGCCGATTATCAGGTGTTTCAATAAACAGGAAGATTAAAATATCATTTTTATGTATAGTAAAGCACATAGTTGAAACAAGGAGTCCTAACCATAATTTAAGGTCAAGCTGATGAAATTAAATGATGAAAGTCTTGGATTTTTGACGGAAATTCATTAATCTACATGGTTAAATAACAATTTTGTGTTAAAGCTGATGAAAACATCAACTTACTTCCCAAAACCTAACCTTAAACTCTGTATCTTAATGTTCTACACATTTATAATCCCTTGTCCCTTGCAAGTGGTCGAACCTCTTTAAAAATCTTTTGGAGTCATTCAAAGGTCGTCCAAAAATTGTAGTCTCTTCACTTCTAAGTCTGTAAATCCATAACCATTGTTGATTTACACCTTTGCCCTATGTGTACAAGGCAACTAGTTGTATTCTTTTATTCGTTCACATAATTTCTAAGCCATTTTTCAGCCCACGGAAGCGATGAAATTCTATTCTTTCCACAAAATAATAATTCCATCCTTAAGTTATTTATAGTTATCACTACGTATATTTAAACTTTCACTTTATTTAGTTTGATAGTTTGATTAATTTCACTTTGAATGCCCTAGCAAACATATTTTTGACTGAATTATTGATAATGTATGATATGAATACATCACGCCGTCTCACTGTCCTATCAAAATTCATATTATTCTCGATTGAAAATCGACGGTGAGAGCAAGTCCATATAATATATTTTCCCAGATAAATTAAAACCTCTGAAAGAAAAGTTGTGAAAACTATCCACTAATGTGAAGTTATAAATGGTTAGCAATGTTGAACTGATTTTAGCTGTATCATATGTCCTTACATCTCAATGATTATTTGTCTGCCTGCGACAGTGACAGTTGGGCAGTTTCTGCGTCAATTTTTAATTGATAATCAAAAAATATATTTAGTAGTAAAAAAGGTAGTGCCTAACCTTTCCTTCCGGGCATAATCTGTATATGTCGTCCCCATTAATCATCACGCACTGCAGTTTCTTTTTCAGCATGGAACCTAAATAACTTTTACCTGAAGACTTTGGACCGAAAATAAAAATAGAGGGGACTAGAAATTGTTTACGGTGAAAATGAAACTACCATCCTCAACATCTTTATTCAGGTAATCAATCAAATATGTTATAGGATCTTCAGGACGATTGATGATCAAAAGTTTCAGTAATCTCTGAAGAGTAAAAGTTGTAAAACAATACCTGCATCAGCTGAAATACTGAGTGCTTTTCGGCATAATCCATATATTCTGGCGATATTTGAGTAGAGTTGAGAAGCATACTCATTTTAAATGTTCACAACAGTGAATCTATGACAACTGACCAAAACGAAGTAAAGTGTAAAGCACATAAAATACTTCACAATGAAACCTAAGAATTGCTTTAATTCCTATTTAATCGGTATAACTCTTTTTTTGGAGAATAAAGATTTTATTCGGAAGTCGTTTTGATCGGCTCAAAAATTAGAATGGTTTATTGTATCGCATTCGAGATTTTACTCTAAAAACTTCTAGCTTCGTTTGTCAGCTAGTTTCGATCTCATGCTGGCTTTATTTCGGGTTGCTTTCTATTGATTTCTCTATTGGATGTAAGTTCATTCTAAGTGCTCTCTAAATCATCGATTCATCTTTTTCTCTCGTTCTCTGTTTTTTCAGATAATCTTACACGCTGTTTCTGACACACCCTCTAGCACACTAGGTACCTCCTGGCTAAATGCAGATTAACTTTAGTGTAAAGCTTCTACGAAGAAAATACGATTTGTGAAAAATAAACATTATTGTACTCGTTTTGTTTAACTGTACCGAAAACACTTCTTGCACTTCTTGAGCGCAGCGTTCTCTTCGCGTTGCTGCCATTTCTCTAAATGCCCCGTTTCCGATGTATTGCCTAATTTCTCCTTCGATAAAACCTTGGAACATGGGTTTGTTTTGATGTGAATGACGGGACCGTATGGAACATTTAGTGATGATCACAGTCAATCTCGACTCGGTCACCACTAAAAACTAAAAGTTGAAGTTACATTATATCAAATGTTCCACGTCGAAATTTGTGTCACAGTGCATTTTTCTGTTAATTCAACTGTCTTACTCGATATTACAGGGAACTTTATTATTAGACTACAACTAAGCCCATAAATTTGTTTTATTTTCATATCCCGTTTCCGGGTATACTACATCTTATTCCTGAAGCAAACTAGTGCTCTTTTGAGTAAGTTTTTTTTATTTTCGCTGCTTACTCTTCAAGCTATTTAAAATATTTAAAAGATAAATATTATTTAGTTAGTTCTATGGTGGATGCATAATAAACCAAACTGACGGATCCACAATCAAACACACTACTTTTATAGACAGCCTGGAAAAATCAGTACATGATTTGACTAGATACATATTAGGAATGTCAAAATGCCAAGACGCCAGGGACCTTACTGTCTTTTGTCGTCCCTGGGACAGGGCGTTATAAATGGTTTTACCTTATGTATGAAGAATTCAAATCGATATCAGTCTCAGTTTAGAAAATACTTTAGCTGCTTTAGGTGCTTTGGAAAAGACGAGAGTTCGTTCAGCTAATTCCCACACCCCGGAACATAGCAAGAACATTTTATTTTATTATTTCCTTATAGGTTTCTCAGAATGTTAAACATGAAAACCAAAGGCCAAGATGTTTTAGCGAGCAAGATTACAAGCACACAAACTTGAAAACATCTAAGAAGTAAGTATAGGTAAAAATTCCGCTCCGCAAAGCGCTAATAAGTGATTTAGTTACATTGAATAGGTGCAATCAGGTCGTAAAAATAGAAACCTATCAATGCATCGAAAATGGTTCAGGTCGAAAAACAAATAAAAAACGCAGTCAACACAAACAGCGCTGTTGGTACAGTCAGAGGATTAGTGCCAAGTAAACCAAGTACCGTGGTGGGAAATATTCCTAATATTTCCGTAAAAGAATAATAATCACATAAGTTGAAATAAGTGAAAGGGTCACATAAGTAGACGCTTATTTCACATAAGGAACAGAATTTCTCTTTACATGCTTGGTGCATACCGATGACTCACACCAACTTTATTACTTCTGACTGCTACTCCCAATGGAGAGTAGACCACCGAACAGTATCCTACAATCTACTCTTTCCTGGGATTTCCTATCATTTTCTGCATAATTGCTGTGCATTCTTTTTATGTCTGTTTCACACGCCCGGCGTGATGTGCTCTTCGGTCTTCTTTTTCTTTTTCCTTGAGGGTTTCAGGTGCGGGCTTATCTTCGACGCAGTTAGGTGCCTTCCTCAATGTGTTTACATAATACTCCCAGCACTTCTTTCTGATTTACTTGTCTGAAAGAGTCTGGTTTGTTCTCTTTTACGCTAGGTTGTTGCTTTTGGTGTCCGTCGATGAATGTGAAGTGCTTTCCGCAGAGAACTGTTAATTAACATTTGTATCTTGTGGATAATGGCTTTCGTGGTTCTGCAAGTTTCCATCTCATACAATAGAATTGTCTTGATATTTGTATGGAAAGTTCTGAATTTTGTGTTGGTTGGTAATAGTTCTGAATTGCAAATGTTCTTCAGTTCTATAAATGCTGCCCATACTTTGCCTTCACATTTGTACCAGATCCACTTCGCTCATCAATGAAGCTACCTACGTATGTGGCGGTTTCCGCATCCTTCAAAGATTCTCAGTATTGTGTGAATTGGTTGGTGCATGCTTGGATATTTAAGAGGATCTAGCTTCTTTGTGTATGGTGAGACTTACTGCTTCAGAAGCTGTTTGTTGTTGCTTGTGCAATACAAAAGCTAGATTGTCTGTGAAGTCTAGGTCGTCCAGCTCTACCCAATCTGTCCAGTGCATTCCATGTTTCATCTCCGATTTTGATATTTTCATAATTCAGTCAACCATCAGCCATTCTCAGCGCCGTTCTTCACTTGAACTGAGTCTGTGAGCTGTCTTAGGTGCACTACTTTGCAGTTTAATCCGTCATAAGAATTCCTTATAACGCTGATCATCTTCTCGGGCACATCAAATAGTAGAGAAAGCCTCCATAGTGTCATCCTGTTGGTAATTGTTCTCTTTCCCAAATCATGCTGAAGAGAATGAGGAGTATTTTTGCAATTCCTGCCAAGTCCTTCTCAATTGCTTCTGCTGGAATGTTGTCTGATCCCGCCGGTTGCTGCTCTTGATTCACCTGGTGGCCATACTGATCTCTCCAACTGTTGGTGGGCGAGTTCAGAGGAGCTGGTCTACTCAAGAATACCTTGAAGTGCTCTACAAAACTATTTCGTCGTTTGTCAGTGTCCATGATTAATTCGTCCTCTTTGTTCCTGACCGGTCGTTCCGGCTTATTATATTTTCCTATGGGATTCCATGTTGTATCGTGCAATTATCTCAAGCTTTCTTCTTGTACAGTCATTTCCTCTGTCATTGCCAGATCCTCGAGATATTAAAGCTTGTCACCTGCTTATTAGACTCGGTGTATCCAGTCTGCACCTTGGTGTTTTCTGCTCTTGTCCAGCTGATATAAATTACTTCTTTCCTGTTCTTCCACTCTCGAATCTCATCCAGAGTATCCGCAAAGATCCATACCTTGCGATGGTGCATCTGCGGCCTACAGCCTCATGACATGCTGAAGTTATTTTTTCCTTGACCCCTTTCTGCCATGGTAATTTCTGTTGAGTTTGCCAGCTTTCCGGAAAAACGCCGTATTAAACTTTCACCGTGCTTTCCCCCAGGTAACCGGTGGTTCTCCAGTTCTAGCTTCATCTTGGCCACTACCAAGTGATGATGTGGAGCTGTGTCAGCTCCGCTCTTGGTTCTCACGTGCTCCATGATTCCTCCGAACATTTTTTTGGTTCTGTGTAGTGTAATCCGGTGAAATCCATGTAGCTTTGTGTATGCGTTTGTGTGGGAATATGATGCCGCCTATGACCAGTTTGTTGAAGGCACATAAGTTTGCAAATCTCTCACCGTTTTCGTTCGTTTCCCCTAAACCATGTCATCCCATGATATATTCATATCCGGTGTTTTCCATTACAACCTTGGCATTCTGGTCTCCCATCAGAATTTTCTTATGAATAATAATGATTCTTCGAAACGCACGCGAGTCTTGGTTATTTCTTGCATAGCAAAGTAAATTGGACAACCCCAGTAAGATTCTTACTGATAGATCGTTGTTACTGTGGTATAATTTGCATATGATGGCTTCGTCACATTACCTGAGATTTACAGAAACTGTCAGCATAATTTCGAAATTTCTTTGTGTGTAATGATCCAGACAATATTTCGCCATCTTAGTTAATAAACATGACATGAACGGCGTATCCTATGTATTTTAAGAAGTAGGAAAGCTATAAAGACGTGTAGTTCAGTAGTTTTCAAATTTACAATGTTTGCTTACAACATTAAGTTTAGCAACACGCAGGATACTGTCAAAAGAACAACTGTTTCTAAAACATATCTTTTCGAGAATCACCTAAAAAGTGGAGATCTTAGTGAGAGCACCATCAGTATTATAAGTTTATATGCTACTCCGCCTGGTTGAGTTGTAATTAAACAGCATGTTGTACATAGTTACCACGCGCCTTCTATAAAGGTCAAGATCGAAAAGGCGAGATCACGAACAGCACTTGGAAAACTGAAATTCTTATATGCTTGTAAATAAACAGTGAAGATAACTTTTGATACAATATGCTAATGCTTGATTAAACGGACAGAAACACCGATCAAATCGTGATTAAAGATCAGTAGCAGCCAGGCAGTACCTTGCAGTAATAATAATATACTAACTTTCAAAGGAAAGCATGTTACAATAGGCATACCAGTTTGCAGGCAAGATCAAATCGTTACAAGTGCTATCACATTTACTGTAGAAATTAGCGAAGTCAGTTTACAATCAAGAATCTGTTCCTGATAGCACATATAGACCTCAGTCAGTCAGTCAGATGCAACGTTGAACTTTGTACATAAGTACATCAGTTCATGTTGCCATACCACATCAGCACAGAGAAGTAATCGTCAATTCAAATCCAATAGTAGAAGAGGTAGTAAGGGAATTAGAAGTATTCAGAGAGGTTAGGATTAGAAGATACTATTCAAGAAGTATGATTCAGTGAGAAAAGTTTAGAAAGTCAAAACTAGACGGATTGAAGAATCCAGAAGATTGGGATTTGAGAGAACACAAAGAATAAATGCACCGGCGCCATTGCGAACGATTTTGAGCCATGTCATTCAAGGTCTCTAACCATCGATTATTATCATCTCGCGGACCCCAACCAGGTAGTCGACAACTACCGACATGGC